TCCAAGGCCTGGCTGGGTGGTTCTCCTGGCTGGCACTGGATACACATGAGACAGTCCCAATGGATACCAGTGGCATACCAGCTGGGCTGACTGCTTCTCCCACCCATTCTGGATACTTGTGGAAGAGTCCCGATGGCCTATGCGTGTGCAGGGGTGAGCTGGCTGCTTATCTGGCTTTTGTCTTTTAAAGAGGCATTTCTCATCTCAAGTGCTTCTCAACAGTACCCTTTCAACAGGAACTTCTTATACAGTTGTTAGGCACTGGGGTTTTTGTTGTGTGGTCTCTGGGGAGAACAAGCTGAATAAGGATATGTGATCCTGCCAGCTTTTGGAGGTTTCAATCCATAATCAGCTTGTTCCAAGGCAGGGTAGCATGACTCAAGGGCAGCCATTGATGGCAACCACAATCAACAAGAGGAAAAAGGCAAAAAGGCAAAATTCTAATCATTTTTAAAGAAAATAGAACAAAGATATTATTGATAGATAATAGGAGTCTCATTACTTCTACTTATTTTTTTGCAAAGCATGTTTCTAAGAAATTAATCTCTAAAAATTTTAATGAGTAGATGATAATGGATGTTGAAATGTAAATCCATTCTGGCAATAAGTAATATGTATCCATGGATACTTGGTCCAAGTTATTTTATTTAAAGATACATATTTTTTGCCTATTCAAAATTTTTATTTTATTTTCATTATATATTAACAATAATAGTTAAAATAATAATGAAAATATGAGTCCATAAAAGTACTTTAATATGAAAAGATTTAGAGTCATAGAACTAAAAAATAAGTTTCAATTTATATATAATTTTGTAGGAAAGAATAGTATGACAGAGTACTTAGTAAGAGGTCATCAAATACAAATATATTTACCAAAACTACTACATTAAAATATCTATCTTTAACAAAGTAAGTTAGAAATGTGAGCACACAGACTGAGAAGGGAAAAATAAAAATTTTAGTCTTCAAGAAAACATGACTATTATTAAAAATGGATAATGGCATTGGACTTAATCATTCCACAGCAATACATATTTCAAAAACACATATTAATATAATTATAATTTTTACTTGTTGAGTCAATTAATTAATATCTGAAAGGTGAATAATTGTAAATGTCAAATAACTATGGTTTTTAGTTCCCATTAGCCACATAATATATGGTTACCTCAAGTATCAGTGGGGTCTTGGTCATGAGTACAAACAAGGTGCACTAAGTATATGCCTTAAAATTTCATTTAGAAGTCAACGTGTTGAGTAAAATGTGTCCTATTTTATTTTGAAGACTGTTCTCTCAATGTGACAAAAAATATGAAGTCTTTGTTTGTATGTCTCAAAATTGGCAATGATCAGCTGAGTTTATTATTATGTGTGTTTGGGTATTCTGTTAGTGGATAGCTCTGTTTTGATACAAAAAAAGTACAGACACATATAACATAAGTCGCTATATTATGGGGCTCCATTTTTCCATTGCTGAGACATACTTGACATTCACAGTTTAAAGGAGGAGAGGTTTAATTTATTTCATGGTTAAAGGGTAGTCATGGTGCTCCAAGAGATGTATAGCATGGCAGAAAGACATGGAGGAATGAAGCTGCTTAGTTCATGGAAGCCAGGAAGCAGAGCAGAGAGACAGAGCCAAACGGCAGGGCCTGGGAACAAGACGTAGACTGCAAAGTCACACTGCCATGACCTACGCAGATATGCTCAGAAGTATGTTTCACCAATCTGTAGGGCACATGCTAAACCCTGTCAATTTGAAAATTAAAGCTTAACAATCATATATACATTCTTCTATTGTTTTATTTTTGCACCTAGAGTGATTCATTCTTTTGTCCTTGATCAAAACTTCCACATAATTTATCAATAATAATAATTGAATTGATTCCTAAGTATTTCATTTTTTAAAAATGCTTGTGAAAAGTGTTGTTTCCTTAATTTATCTCTCACTGAGTTTCTTCTTTATGTGTAGGAAGGCTATTGAATTATTAGTGATGACTTTGAGTTCTGCTATGCTATCCAATTTGGCTAATAAATCTAGAAGTCTTTTGTTGGAGATTTTGGAATCTTCTACATAGAATATTATGTCATCTACAAAAACTAGTACTTAAACTTCTTTCTTTCTTATCTACATTCATTTTCTTTCTGTTTCTAATTGCACTAATCCAAAAACTTGAACAAGATTGGTGATAATGGGCATCCTTGTCTCGTTCCTAATTTTAGAGTAAAAGTTTTCAGTTTCTAATGATTTTTATGAACCTGATTCTTAACTTGTTACAAGAATTTTTATTAGATTGATATAAAGGTATTCTATTACAATTTTCTTTAGTTTTTTTAAATCATGAATTGATGTTGGACTTTGTCAAATATTTTTTCTTAATCTAGTCACATGAGCATGTCATTTTTTGTCCTTGGTACTATTAATTTGTTTATAACATTTAATGATTTGCTTACATTGAACCATCCCTGGATGAATCCTACTTGGTCATGGTGCATAATATTTTTGATTACTCGTTGCATTTTCTTTGTCAGTATTTTATTGAAGATTTTTGTATGTGTGTTCCTTAAAGAGATTTTCCTGTAGTTCTATTTTTTGACTGAGTCCTTCTCTAGTTTGGGCATCAGGGTAATGCTTGCTTCTTATGATTTTGAGAAATGGTTATTAACAAGAAGTCAAACAATAACAAGTGATGGTAGAGCTGAGTGGGAAAAAGGAACCCTTCTCTACTGTTGGCAGGGGGAGTGTAGACCGATACAACCACTGTGGCAATCAGTGTGAAGATTCCTCAAGAACCTAGGACTACAGGTTCCATTTTACCTAGCTATTCTACTCCTAGGTATCTTTACAAAAGAATCAAAAGAATGCTACCACAGCACGAACACCATACCATATGCACAACTACATTTATGGCAGCATAGTTTGTAATAGACAAATCTTGGAAACAATTCAAGTGGCCATCAACTGATGAATGGATAAAGAAAATGTTTTTTTATATATATACAAAGTAGTACATTTCTAGGAAAATGGATGCAACTTAAGTTCATACCATTAGGTGAAATAAATTGGACAAACATGTATGAATACTGCATTGTTTCTCTGGTGTGAGAAACAGAAAGTATAAATAAGGACCAAAATATATAATAGGTATTGTGAAACAGGAAGCAAATGTTCAAATGGGGACGGTAACTACAGAGAGGAGAATAAGAAAGGAAAGAAGGGAAAATTTTTTAAAAATGAGAAAATAAGAAAAACATGGAAATAAAACTTCTGTAAATAGGGAGAGGAGGATGGGTTGAAGGGAGAGTAGGGGAATAGGGAAAACAAACAAACAAACAAACAAACAAGCTGTATCATGCACAGGTACAAATTCCCCACAATGAATGTGATCATTATGTATATCTAAAATGCACCAATAAAATCTAATTAAAAATGAAACAAAATATTTCTTTCTTTTTGATTTCACTAGAGTTTGAGGAATAGCGGCGTTAGATCTTCTCTAAAGTTCGTATGGAAATCAGCAGTGAATTATTTAGGACCTTGGATTTTTTTCTTTGTTGGTTGTTTTCTTTTTAATTACTTCAATTTCATTGACTGATATTGGGTTACCTAGAACTTTTGTATCTTCTTAATTGTCTTCTGTGAGAAACCCAAAGGGTAAATAAGGAGCAAAATGGAGGATAGATATTTGGAAGTAGAAAGAAAATGTCCAAATGGCAAGGGGAACAAGTGAGGGGGTGGGGAAGAGAAAGAAGAGAATAAAGATAAAACACTAAAAATTAACAATTGAAATAAAATTTTATAAGTGGAGAGAAGAAGAACTGAAGGGGAAAATTAATATACATTATGTACACATACAAATTCTGTATGATGAATGTGATCATTATACATGGTAAAATTGTACCAAGATTAATTAAAAATTAATAGTTGAAGTGATTAAAGTAAATCATAATTCAAGAAATCATGATCAAGTAAATTCACAAAATTTATAAATATATTTTTAAAATTTCTAGTAAATATATAAATAAGAACCTTTCTTGCTTTTGAAAAAGTTATTTTACTAACAAATTCAAAATTGTTCATTAACATTAGAAGCTATATAAATTATAAGCAATGTATATTAAACTTTTAAATCAAAATTACACATTTATAAAGTTAAAATTATTTGCAACTGTATTCCACCTGATTGCCTGGGCAAAAATGGTCTGAATATTCACATATAAATATGAATCATTCATACAAGTCCTCTGCTGCTGTATAGTTCTAATAAGCATCATTCTAGTCACACAATATAAAGACAAGGGACAGACATTGATTCTATAGGAAATATTACTTTGTCTTTATATGTATTTTTTGCATTCATGCCATCTGCTATAGGGGTACAATAAGTTAATTAATTGGTCTATCTCTTAAGCACTTCAAATATACCCTGCCATCCAAAGCACTATTTGACTTGACTCTCAGCAAAAGCATATGCCACAAGGTTTTATGGTATTTATATGTAGTTTCATTTTTGTGTGGAATTTGAGGGCAGGATTTGTTTAAAAATTATTCTATATGGTTTAAATGGTGTTAGAATTATAGGGCTTTCTGTGTGAGTGCTAAATGCTAGACACTGACAGGGGTGTTTTTAATAAATTACATGTTTTCTCTCATGATATGCAGGATTTTTCTTTCAAAGATATAAGAATTCCATTTTATTCAAAAGATTAATCTTAAACTTCAATATATAATGTTAGAAAATATATCCTTTGCAACTATTAAAGTTTAAAAAAGAATTATATGCTACAGTTTAAGGAGAATTGTAGCAAATAAAGTTTTACAAAAAGTACTTTAGAGTTACTACAGTTTGAAAAAATTTGAAAATATTAGAAAAGAAGCCATATATGTATCAATTTCAATGCCATCCCAGTTCTCAAGCTAAATGTGCTTGCGTTTCTAATTTAAATGAAATGAAATTATTTGATACATTTACTTTTCCTTTTTCTCCTAGAGCTATTTTGTCAAAAAGACTTAAGACCTAAAATTTAGCCTATCAATTGACTATCTCAATCTAATCACCAGTGACCAGGACTTGAGTCATACTTCAGGGACCTCTGCTGTACAACAATAATGAATATAAATTGAACTTCAAGACTGTTTCAATCAATATAAACTTCAACAGGTATTACATAGCTATCATTTTTAATTGCTAACGGCCAAGTCTTTAGAGGTATAGATAAGGAATGAGTGCTATGTTAGAAAAGGATGAAGAAAAGATTGATATGTAATAGATATCATTATCTAATAAGAGTGATATCAACTGCAGAGAAATAAGATAGGTGCATGAATCTCATGACCAGATTTCAGACAATTTTCAGAAATAAGACTATTTCAACTAATTTTTCAACAAAATTCTCACAAACAGAGAAAAAGAAAACACAGTACAAAGTGTTGATGAATCTGGCTCTGTAGCTTCTCAGTCCAGTTCTGTCACTAAATTCTATGCAGCCTGCCCAGTGACCCCTTAGTGGCCTGCAGCCGCCTGCACTCTGCCTCATGAGCTGAAACAATTTCCATCCTTCAAGGAAGCTTTAGTGTGTAGCTGTGAGCCTGGTAGGGCCCTACCCAATGTCCCACATCACCAGAGGACCCACATGAAGGTCCCTCTGGACCTATTTTGGCCCCACTCAATGACTCTGGAATGACCCACAGCTACCTGCACTCTGCCTTATGAGCTAAAGTGTGGACAGAAATTTCCATCCCATTGTTAAGCCTTGATGTGTCACTTCAAGTCTAGTAGGGCCCCACTCAGCAGCCCCCATCACTGGAGGATGCACCAGAAGGTCCTTCCAGGCCCATTTGGGATGGTCTTTGGGATGGTCCACAGCAGCCTGTGCTCTGCTTTGTGAGTTGAAAGTGCATGCAGTGATTTCCATCCCACTTGGAAGCCTTGATGCATTGCTCTGAGACTGGTAAAGTGCTGCCTAGTGACCCCAGGTGTCTGGGAGCCACTTGGTAAGGTCTAAGGACCTCAACGCAACTAGGGAAACTCCCTGCAGTAGGAACAGATATTCTCAACCCCAAAAATGACTAAGACCATACCTCCAGCTTCCCTAAGGGGAATATAGGAAAATGACAAAACAAAAGAGGAAAATGCAATCTCAAACCTCTAGCCCATCCCAAGCAAGACTATGAGACATGGACGTAGAAGAAAATGTAAGCCATATACCTAAAACTTCTGAAATGATAGCAATTCAAATAAAGAAACAACCCTGGGAGGCTATAAAAGAACTCAGAGAAGAAATAGTCTCCCAGGTAAAAGAAGAAATGATAAATGCCATGAAAGAAATGCTGAACACATCTAAAGAAGCCATAGTTTAAAATTTAGAGGAATACTGCAAAAAGATGGGAATCTTGAATGAACAACATAAGAAGCAAACAGAAATGGATTCAAAGATACATGTAAGAAATCAAAAATTCCATTGAATGTTGGCAAAACTGTCTCAATGAAAGTGAAGATAGACTTTAGACCTCAAAGACAAGATTGCAGCTAGTAAAAAGGAAAGATCTTTTAAAAATAATAAGGAATCAGAAAATAACAATTCAACACCTGCAAGATGATGCAAAGAAAAACAACATAAAATTGCTAGGTATAAATGTAAAAGAAGGTGACAGCACAAAAGATGTCAAGAGGCTATTTACAGAAGTAATAGCTGAAAATGTCCCAAACATGAGAGTGGAAAATGACATCCAGATAAATGAAGCATATAGAACTCCAAATAGCTATAACCAAAATAAAACTATACCCAGACATAATAATGGTCAACATCACAGAAATCAAACATAAGAACAGAATATTAAAAGCTGATAGAAGAGACAGATCACCTCTAAAGGAAAGCCTATCAGAAACACAGCAGACTTCTCAACACAAACAATGAAGTCAAGAAGATCATGGAGTGAAGTATTTCAGATCCTAAAGGAAAATGACTTTCAACCCACTTTGATGTACCCTGCAATACTGTCCTTCAAAACTGATGGTGAAATAAGACACTTCCATGACAAAGAATGGCTGAAGCACTTCATAATCATCAAACCAACCCTGCAATAATACTGAAAGACATTCTAGATAGACAGAGGGAATAGCCACTAAGCAAGGCAAACAAACATAGGAGAAATGGAAAGAATCAACAGCAGAAAGATAATGTGTCAAAAATAAACCGATATATATATATATATATATATATATATGTATCAGTTATGACCATTAATGTAAATGGCCTAAATTCATGAATAAAAGAAAGAGACTGGCAGAATGGATCAAGAAAAACATATAACCATACGCTATATACAAGAAACCCACTTAACCCAAAAGGAAACATAGATTGAAAGTCAAAGGATGGAAAACAATACTTCATGCAACAGATACTAAATAAAAAAAAGGCAGGGTTAGCTATTTTGTTTGCAGACAATGTGGACTTCAAGCCAATAATGATCTCAAAAGAGATAAAGAAGGTCACTACATACCAGTGAGGGGAAAACTTCAAGAGGAAGAGGTAACAATCTTAAATACATATGCACCAAATTTGGGAGCATCCAGCTATACAAAACAAATATTAAAAGAAATGAAAAATCAAATAAGCAATAACACAATTATAACAGGAGATTTTAATACCTCATTGACACACAGAGACAGATCAATGAGACGGAAATCAGCAAAGAACAGAACTGAATTACACCTGTGAACAAATGGACTTATTGGATGTGTACAGAGTGTTCCACCCAACATCAGAATATACATTCTTCTCAGCTTCACATGGGGAAATTCTCTAAAATAGACCATATACTAGCCACAGAACATGCTTCAGTAAATGCAAAAGAACTGAAATTATCTCTTGCATGTTATCAGATCATAGCACCATGAAACTAGAAACTAATGACAAAAGAAACTGCAAAAACCCCACAAACACATGGAAACTGAACAATATACACCTGAACAATCAGTGGGTCACAGAGGAAATTAAAGGAAAAATTAAACAATATCTAAAAGCAAATGAAAATACAAATAAAACTTCCGGGAACCTGTGGGATACAATGAAAGCAGTCCTCAACCGGAAAATTTGTTGCGGTGAATTCCCACATAAGGAAAACAGAACAAGCAAAAATAAAGAACCTGAGGCTATACCTCAAACATCTAGGAAAGGAAGATCAAGTGAGGCCTAAAGCCAAAAGAAGGAAGGAAATTATAAAGATCAGAGCAGAAATCAATGCAATAGGGACTAAGAAAACAATGCAAAGAATGAATGAATCAGAGTTGGATCTTTGAAAGAATAAATAAAATTGATAGGCTCGTAGACAACCGTATATAAAAAAGGAAAAAAACCCTCAAATTTATGCAATAAGAATGAAAAAGGTGAAATCACTACAGACCCGGTTGAAATACAGAGAAGCTCATCAACATCTACTTCGAAAACCTCTACTCTTTTAAATTTGATAGAACAGAAGAAATAGCAAATTTCTAAAAACATATGAATTATCTAAAACACATCAGGAAGATGTAAAACTGCTGAGTAACCAAATTTCAATTAATGAAATTGAAAATGTAATTAAAACCTTACCAACAAGGAAAGGCCCAGGTCCAGGTAGATTCACTTTAGAATTCTGCAAGAAATTCAAAGAAGACATAATGTTGACACTCCTAACTCTTTGATGAAATTGAAAGAGAAGAAATTCTCTCTAACTCATTCCTGGAAGCAAGCATTACTCTAATAACAAAACTAGAGAAAGACCAACCCAAAAAAGAGAACTACGGGCCCATCTCCCTAATGAATATAGAGGCAAAAATTCTGAATAAAATATTAAGAGAATGCAGCAAATCATTTAGAAAACTAAACACCACAATCAAGTGGGATTCATCCCAGGGATGGCTCATCATATGCAAATCAATAAATGTAATCCACCATATCAATAGAGCCAAAAAAATCATATGATCATTTCTATAGATGCAAAAAAACTTTTGAAAAGGTGCAACACTCATGCATGATAAGAATCCTACAGAAAATCAGAATAGATGGTATACTTCATTATGATTAAAGTCATCTATGACAAACCAACAGCCAGCTCCTATTAAATGGCCAAAAACTGAAAGTCCTAACTCTAAAATCAGGAACAAGACAAGGATGTCCATTATCATCACTCTTATTCAATATAGTGCTGGAAATACTAACCAGAACAACTAGATAAGAGAGAAATAAAAGGAGTAAGGAAAGGAAAAGAAAAAGCGAAATTATCATTATTTGCAGATAACATGATATTCTGCATAGAAGACACCAAAAACTCCACTGAAAGACTCCTAGGTGTAATAATTAAATCCAGTAATGTAGCTGGATATAAAGTCAACACTGTAAAATCAATAGCATTCTTATACACAAACAACAAACTCACTGAGAGACAAATAAGAGAAGCCACACCATTCACAATAGCATCCAAATAAGTGAAATACTTAGCAATCAATCTAAGAAAAGAAGCAAAAGATCTATTCAGGGAAAATTATAGTACCCTGGCAAAGAAATTGAAGACGGTCTCACAAACTGGAAAGACATTCCTTGTTCATGGATAGGAAGAACAAATATTGTGAAAGTGGCGATCCTCCCAAAATTGTTATAGAGATTTAACCCAATTCAAATCAAAATACCACTAGCATACCGCACAGATCTAGATAAATCATTTCCAAAATTCACCTGACTCTTCATATGCCGAGAACTAAAGCTAGACCCATGCCTGTTACTATGTAGTAAACTAAAATCAAAATGGATCAAAGATCTACATATTAAAACAGAAATACTAAATATGCTGGAAGACAAAGTAGGTAGAAATCCTGAAGGCATAGAGGTTGGCACAGTCTTCGTGAACAAATATCAAACCACATGGGAAATACTTCCTAGAATCAATAACTGAGATCTCATCTTATTAAAAAATTTTTGCATGTTGAAAGAAATCTCCAACAGAATATAAAGGAAACCAATGAATTTTGAAAAAATTTTAGTCACCTGTCCCTCAGATAAATGACTTCTGTTTAGAACATATAAAGAATGAAAAAAACATTGGACACCCAAAATTCAAGACCCAATTCAAAAATGGGTATCTGAGATGAGAACACAGTTCTCAGATGAAGAAATACAAATC